CTAAATTAAGAAAAAAATAAAAAATAAAATAAAATAAAATAAATAAATAAATAAAAAACCTTTGTCAGTTTGTTGTGTAAATTTGGGTGAATATTTGTAAAATAATAATCATAAGAAGAAGAATAAAAATAACATAAACAATAAAAAAGAAGAAAGGAAAGGAATAGATGCTTACCTGAGGAGTGTCATACACTGTATTTTCAATGTTCTTTGTGTTATCTGCAATTTAGACAAAGATTTGACATGATTTCTTTGCAGGCTTTAATTCACCCTTTCTACTTTCTACATCCAGGTTCTCAACTGGTCTAACCCTGGGACCCACATTTTCCCATGATCACAATGGCGCAACCCACTTTTTTTAGAATTCAATATTCAATATATTTTTTCTGTGCAACATGCATTTCAGAGCATATAACCAGGTATAGCAACTGGACCATGACAATAAGTTTTTAAAAAATGAAAAACAAGTCCAACCTGACACGCGTATTATATATTATTTATTTTTGACCAGCTGTCCGCGACTCAGCCAGAACAGGTCCGCGACCCACCAGTTGAGAATTACTGCTCTACATTATCACATTACTTGTGCTATATGTCTGAATAATTCCATCCTTACATTATAGCATGCTTTATAGCTCTGAAACATTTGATGTTTTCTGATGTTACTGACTCATAGAAGTTGTTTTTGACTATAAAGAAAATTTTCAAAAAGCACTTCAGCAAACAGCAACACATATGGAAAGCCCTTTTTCCCATCCCCCCTGTGTTCACAACTCATAGTGGGAATAACTGGGCAAGGGGGCTGAAAGGTGCACGTAGACTAGACTGACAGTGAATTTCTTTTTTTTGTTTTTCGACAGTCGACTTTGATGTCAGGAAAATATAGGAGAGATATTATAAACACATAAAAACCTGCATAGAGGACCTTTAAGTTCCATTTTTCACAGAATTTTCTGTGGTTAAAAAAACATTTAAAAATTCTTGAAGGGTCTGAGATATTATTATCTCTGTAATTTGAAGTGAATTGCCTAATACCACAAACATGGTTATTAGATGTAGCAGATGAACTTTCACAATACTCAGAATTCTTATGTACAGTAACACGAGGATTTTGCAACTTTTTGCACACTTGTACTTACATGTTCTGCTTATTCGACGATAAACAAAGATTCCAGTTATGATGAGGACAACAAGCACAATCACAATCCCAACAGTAACATAGATGTAAAGTGGTTGAATCACTGTAAAAGAAAAAAGAAAGAAATTATGCACGGTTTAATCATGCAACATGGCTGAAAGTGTGCTCATGTCCCATCTCAGAGGCCTGAGCTTTTCATTTACTCCCCCTGAAAACTTTTGAAAAACTAACCACTGTCAATCTAGAATAAAGACAAATTCTGCAACTGCACAGCTTTTTTTTCAAGCTTAAAATGTTTTCAGACACACACTTTGGTAAACTATTTTATGTTTCCGAAGAACCATCATGTTTGTCCGATTTAAAATCCAGGATTATTGGCTCACAGTCAAAGTGTTGTAGCCATGGAAAAGAACGCACAACTGCTGGCTGGCATATCCTCACATTCCCCGATTTTCCATTAAAATAATAC